AGCTCGAATCATTTCAAATTGGTTTCTTGACCATGACAATGAGTTCACTGTACTACAATGGCCCCCACAGTCACCAGATCTCAACCCAATAGAGCATCTTTGGGATGTGGCGGAACGGGAGCTTCGTGCCCTGGATGTGCATCCCACAAATCTACATCAACTGCAAGATGCTATCCTATCAATATGGGCCAACATTTCTAAAGAATGCTTTCAGCACCTTGTTGAATCAATGCCACATAGAATTAAGGCAGTTCTGAAGACGAAAGGGGGTCAAACACCGTATTAGTATGGTGTTCCTAATAATTCTTTAGGTGAGTGTATGTACAAGTGTAATTTCTTGCTTTGAATATTTCTTGTATGGTAGGATTTGGGTTGGGTGTTCTGGGTTTGTTGGCTTCCACACCTGCTGTATCTATTATCATTATTCTATGTGTGTTAAAAAGGAACTTTAAGCTGAAAAAGGAATTTAAACTATTATACAAAATTAAAAGGTACAAGACCAGTAGAGGGAAAGGTTATGGCTGGGATCTCAATGAGAGGTGCATGGTCTTGTTCATAGTGTCCACTAGATGGAGCTGTTGCACAAGCAGACAGCTGCGTGGATGAGTGCAGCGTTTTGTGTGCCTGGGTCACTAAATGAAAGCAAAAGCTGATTAATAGTCATTTTCTACTGTTCTTCATGGCCTATTGCACTGCCATTCCACATGCCCAGGATTAACCTCGGGGCTTATAATGTGTGACAGCTGTGGAGGGTGTGGCTGTGTAGAATGATCAATATGCTTCAGTAGCTGTGAGTAACATCTCTCTGCCTGTTTGGCAGGTTTACTCACTGTGTCACAAGACTGCTCAGCTACATATCACTGGCAGTTTTCCTACAAGAAAGAAATGGTTAATTTTCTCACTCAGAATTTGTTAAAGGCTATATTTTGTTCTCTTACATTAATCTGTACATTGCTTAATGGTCAACAGCTTTTTTTTCAGCAGCAGTAACTGTCTTTTTTTGTTTTGTTCCCAGTATACTGCCTTTATATACTAATTAATACTTTGTTTTATTCCCAGTATACTGCCTTTATATGCTAATTAATACTTTGTATAATTCCCAGTATACTGCCTTTATATACTAATTAATACTTTGTTTTATTCCCAGTATACTGCCTTTATATACTAATTAATACTTTGTTTTATTCCCAGATTACTGCCTTTATATACTAATTAATACTTTGTTTTATTCTCAGTATACTGCCTTGTGTTTCTGCTATATATAGATATTTACCAAAGTGTACAACCAGCCAAACAAAATCTTGTATTTTTTCTGCAAATTCAATGAGCACAGTATGAAATTAGAGTTTCCCATCAATTGCTTGTTGGTGGATGGGACTGGATTTCTGAAAGTAATAGAGAACGTTCTGGATCATTGTGTCATTCAGGGGTGTCTCCCAGAGGTGAGAGAACTGGTTTTCACCATCCGGTTTCCCCTGAGTTGCTGCCCACACAGCGCCCAAGCTAAATGCTGCTGTTGGAGTGCTGATCGGACTGATAACATTTCAGCCAGCAAAGATAGGTTCATGACTCGGAGTCAGAGGCAGTACCAGCTGGGGGGGACAGAGTGGTAGCTATCGCTGGATCAAGCAACCTGGCACCTCGTGTTGACTGAGTAAGAACAGCAAGACAAGACAGGAACAGGAGATAATGGCATTGTGATCTAATACAAAAGAAACCTGCTATCAGATCAGATAAGATCTTAGGTGCAATCGAACTGGCAAATTTCTTTTTTCACGTGTGTCGCTTGAATGCAGGCAGGTGACACTCAGGCGTTTTTGTAAATCCAAAACAGGCAAAAACCTACGAAATCTCATTCACAGTCTAGAGACCTGGATATCTATTGCTGTTAATCAGGTTATTCTCCATTTAGATATTTAGACAGCTAATCACATGCTATTTCAACAGGTTAAGACTCAGGCTACATTCCTTAGTATGGCTATTGATAGCAGTTGATGTAATTATCATCTACTTAAGAGCATGTATGGCAATATAGGAATGCTGCACAAGTCAGCAAACATCTCCCAAAAGAGTAAAGAAGATTCTTCCTTGAGATTGAGGTCATATATAGAACAGGGAAAATTTAATTAATTCAAGCTCTATGAAATGCTGTGATAATATCCACACCTGCTGCGGATCTGAATGAATACCAAGCAGAAACATGAAATAACCCGCAGCTGAAACAGGGCTTTGAGGGGCCATCAGCTGCCAAAATCAAACGTGGAATGTCCAACACGTGGCCTGCTAAGTCCACATGATCAGCCACATGAACGAAATATTGTGGGAATGTGACTGTTCTGACAGAGATAAGGAGAACCCACTTTCTGTCACTGTCACATGTGGTGACTTTGGAATGTGTTTAAAAACCAGTTATGTACCATGAATCTTCAGACTACATGGTGCTGTCAATTCAATGATATTTTTGACACTTGTGTAAATTAAAGTAATTAATGATGACATACAGTATTACCTCCTAGTCAAAGAAAATTATATTTCTATCTAAATTATATGGACAAAAGTATTGGGACACCTGGCCGTTACACCCACAGGAACTTGTATGACACCCCATTCTAAATCCTCAGGCATCAATATGGAGCTGGTCCCCCTTTGCAGCTATAACAGCCGCCGCTCTTCTGGGTACCATATCATACCAACTTTATTTATAAAGAACTTTAAAACAACCACACACGACCAAAAGCTGTACAGAGAATTTACAATGAAACAATTAGAATTAGGTAAATAACAGCTCATAAAATAAGCACATATACAAAATAAGATGACATACCATCAAATAAAATAAACTAAAATCAACATCTCACAAGGGATCGAAAGCCAAAGAAAAGAGAGGTTTTCAGGTGGGATTTAAATAGATTAATAGACAGAGAAGAAGCCTGTCTAACATGCAAGGGCAGATCGTTCCACATTCTGGGAGCTGCAACAGCGAAAGCGCGGCCCCCTCTATGCTAAGGCTTGGTTATAGGCACACGCAGGAGCAGCTGGCCAGTTGACCTGAGAAACCGGGAGGGTATGTAAGGGTGTAAAAGCTCAAAGAGGTAGGGAGGGGCAAGACCATTAAGAGCCTTAAAAGCAAATAAAAGAATTTTAAATTGAATCCTAAAATGTACAGGCAACCAGTGGAGCATTGATAAAACAGGCGAAATGTGATCATATCTCCGTGTGCCCATCAGAAGGCACGCAGCAGCATTTCGCACCCTTTGAAGCTGAGTAATATAGGATGCACCTACCCCTACGTAAAGTGCATTGCAGTAATCGAACTGAGTGGGAATAAAGGCATGGATTACAGTCTCAAAATGCTGCTTGGAAAGAATTGGCTTTATTTTAGCCAACTTCCTCAACTCAAAAAAGCTAGATTTGACCACAGCCCTGATATGGCAGTCAAATTTAAGGTCAGCATCTATCTTGACCCCCAGATTAGTGATAGTTGGCTTAATATATT